TTTTTTCCGAACTTTTCAACAAAACTTAGATAATCATTATGTGTAATGCCACGTAGGATCAGGCGCTGGCCTTAATGGGGGGGGATCGAACTTCCCCCTTGTTTTCTCGGTACTGTGATCTATTCGTAATCGAACCTTTTTTTTTTTTTTTTTTTTTCCAAATACTGCCCTACCATTTTTTTTCTATGCATCATCTTTCTCTCTATATATAATCGGAGGGCGGACGCCTCTACTTTCAGTTACTTGGTTAGATGGACTCAGACAACTCACATGGTGTTTCTCCCCAAAGCGCCTCTAGTCAGGGTATAGACGCCGGGGAAGAAACCCGCATCCGTACTCTGTTCAATGAATGCTTCACGCAAGGAAACATTCCAGACCTTGCCCAGTATGTGAGAGTAACGAGTGCAAATGGTATAATCAGCGGGGACGTCAGGGAAGACTTCAATCAAGTACAAATTCGATGGCTGAAGAAGCACACCCTAGTTTTCTACTTCCAAGGGGTATTGAAAAACCTAGGGATGAAGGAGAAACTTCTTTTTGTTAGAGACTTGGAAGATGGACGTTTGAAGTCGGAACAAAAGCCACTGGGAAGGGGAACTACTCATGTGGAAGGCCGTAATATGATTACCTCTACTGCACGGTCTGAGATCTGCCAGAGAGCAATGACCGGTAAAAAACAGGAAATTCATTTCCGTCTCGAAGGAAAAAAATATTCTGTTTTTCTCCAGTCATGGAATCCGATGCCAAAGAAGGAATGGGATGAAGAAGAGGATAAGGAAAAAAGAGAGGAAATTCATTTCCGTCTCGAAGGAAAAAAATATTCTGTTTTTCTCCGATCATGGATGCCAAAGAAGGAATGGGAGGAAGAAGAGGATAAGGAAAAAAGAGAGGAAACTATACGGTGATGGCCATCAGGTTTCCTATTTTCATTATTTCGCACCATGACTGAACAAGCATTGGGGCATATAGTTAAAGAATGTGATCCTATCGAGGACGATATGATGCCCCATCTTGTAAATGTTAAATTTGGTATGGACAGAGACGAGGAGAGAAGGTTCCAAGAATTATAGATGAGCAAACCCTTCTCCAATAGAACCTCAAGGTTGGAACGGACATCCTATCGACAGAGTTAGTAGACAGCCTAAAACCCTGGTGCACCTCCTGCAGGTGGTACATGCACGGGTGGAGAGACTGCCCAGATAACCCTGCCAATGGCCCTCAACCAGTCGTTACACCCTTCTCCGCCCCCCCCCCCCACCTCTCGTTCGAACGGTCCAGTCCCACCTAGGACATTTCCACATGGAACTGTCCCCTTTGGGACTTTTCCCTCTGGAACAGTCCCTACTGGGAAGCCCCCCTCTGGGACAAGTCCACCCGGTACATCCACTTAAGAAACAATCCCATTTGGGTGAATCCCATCTGGGTCAATTTCCTTTGGGACGGTCCCACCTGATACACCTCTTCCCTGGACATCTGCGTTTTATACGGGACATCTGCAGCGTTTTATACGGGAGCGTTTTATACGGGACATCTGCAGGCCCCGTACTACCTTCTTCCCCCGAATACAACGTACAGTCATTATAGCTGTATTTAGACTAAAAGATGCCCCAAATACAGCTATAATGACCGTACGTTGTATTCGGGGAAATACTGTAGGGTCCGTTTGATTCAAAGCCTCACTGAGAATGGTCTTCCGAAGCTAAAACAGTGATTTTTAGAATAGTTTCCCCTTGGCTCCTGCTGGCTCTGAGTAGCATTGTAGTTTGTTTTGTTGCTTTAAACCACCAGTACTTCCTAGAGTAGTGCTCGTTAACGCGCCACTATTTTAGGAAACGCACGGGCTACTACAGGAATTTTTTGGAAACGCAGGGGCTACTACAGGAGCGGCCAAATTCAACAGACTAGAAATGGTTCTACTCTATTTTTACCCCCAGCTGATAGCTGGGCCAAATAGTGGTGCTGGTGGCCTATAGCTGGGCCAAGTACTGGTTGGTCACGGTTCTACTCTATTTTTACCCCCAGCTGATAGCTGGGCCAAATACTGGTGCTGGTGGCCTATAGCTGGGTCAAGTACTGGTTGGTCCTTAGAAGATTTGCTCCGTTGTCGTCTGTCATGGACTCATGGTTATTGGTTTCGAAGGAACATTGGTTACTGGGAAGCTAAACTGGCTGAAGCAGCCAGGATAACCCCGGGTTGAATTGTGAGGTCCCTGGCCTCGCCCAAAACTTTTTTTTTTGTTTTTTTTTGGAAGAAATCAGAATTATATTGCATGTTGGAATAGAGGCCGGGGGCCATGTCCCACTTCTCCAGGTTTTGTTCTGGTTTCGAGTGTACATGGCTCCTTGCCATCCGATCTGAAAATCTCACGGCCCTGGTGTGGCCACGTTGGAAAATACACGAAACGGAAACTAAAACCCCGCTAGTGGGTCAAGGCCCCGGGAATCCTCAGCAAAACAACCCGGTACCTCGTCCAGATTATATATGGATTTTTTGGATTAAACCACTAATACCTCTGCCAGTGTTGGGAAATTACAATGGAATGGTCTGTCCTGGAAGAAATAGGGGTGGGACCCAGGGTAGGGGAGTCAATTAAATCGTAGTTTTCTTTTTCCCACGACTGAAAGGAAAAGGAAAAAAAAAAAGCTTCTGTACTGCAATGATTAGGGCAGGGTAGTCTAGGAGGTTGTGCTCACAGTCTTCCTCTACGGAATGCATGCTACGGCAAGGTCGTGCTCACTGGCACAGTCTTCCTCTAGGTAATGCATGCTACACAAGACGGTCACATTCTGAAACTTGTTGTTTTCTTTCTTTTTTTATTTCTCGTTTGTCTTTTACGAGTCCCCTGCCAACGAGGCAGAATCCGTTCAAAAAAGATATGCTCCATGACATGGCAGAACGCAAGTTTCAAAAAAGATATGCACCATGTGAGGTGCGAGAAAAATATATGGCTGCCTCCCCATCAGGAGAAGGCAGCCTTTTCGGAAAAAAAAAACAGAAAAACAAGGATATATTGTAGCCGAACTGACGGGCCGGCGGTAGTTTAAGAATTTTGTTCCCCTTGGTTCCATCTTTTTTTTTTTTCGGGGGGGGCGGGGGGGGGAAGGGGGGACAAAAGCTCCTGGTTCCATCTGGATTCGAACTCAAGCCTACATTTCAACAATTTATGGGTGTACCAACTGAGCCTGCATTTCAACAAAAGGTATACACATGAAGTGTGTATCGCCCAGTAGGGGCCTCGCCGCCAGAGCCGCAAGTATCCCTCGAGGGGCCAAGTCCCAAGTCCCAAGTCCCAATCGCAGCGTTTGAGTTTCCTCAATGCCATAATCCGGACGTGTTTGTGGAGATGTGCAGAAATGGCCTTTCCTCAACCGCACATCTCCACAAAAAGCACATCCAGATTCAGGCGTTGAAGACACTCAACGCTGCTGCTTGGTAGTCGCACGTGGCCCGCGAAGTATCATTATATTCTCTTCCTGATAAAAAGGGACCCGTTCTGGAGGTCAGAATAGAAGAGAAGAGATTGGACGTGGAGAAAAAAAGAGGGGCGTTTTTTTTTTCTTGAACGCTGCGTAGTGTGAGGGGGGTGTAATAGCCTCGAAGAGCTCGAGACGGGAGGCCTCCTTGGCAGTGACACGTGCACAAGCTCTGGGTAACCATAGCCACTCCAGCGTGTTCAGCAGGGCACGACGGCCACAGACTGACGGCGGCGGAGATGGAGCAGAGGCTGCTGCGATCTGTCTGTACGATTACAGAGACGGCCCGATGGCTGCTGCTGCTGCTTGTCCTGCTGCTGATCATGCAGTCGGCCTGCCCCGGCCAGGTATCTGCCATTCAGCCGCCACCTGGGTCGGTGAAGATCAACGACTTCAGCTACGCAGGCAGCGGGTGTCCTCCTGGGAGTGTCGAACTCGTCATGTCCGACGATGGGAATGCGATGACGCTGAAGTTCACCAAGCACCGTGCTACGACGTACGAGAGCGCGGCCCATCGGAAAAGGACGTGCACAGCGTCCGTAGGCCTCAGTTACCCTCCGGAATTCGCCGTAGGGGTGGGGTCGGTCAGTGTCAAAGGGTCCGCAAGGCTCGATGGAGGCGTGTCTGGGTCGATTAAGGCGTCATATTACTTCTCCGGGCAGGGAGGGACAGCTAGCAGCACGCAGGTTATGAAGGGACCCTCCGAGGAGAGCTTCGAATACTCCGACAGCTTCGGACCTGTGTACAGCAAGTGCGGCACGGAGCCGAAGCTGTCCATCGTCACGGAAATCAAGGTGAAACCCGGCAGGGCGACCAAGGGAGGGGGATTTATTCGACTTGAGTCTACGCCCCAGAACTTGGATCTCATCTGGATGCGATGCTAAGAAGCACAGCTCCTACCGTGTTCCCTCGAATAGAACGCATGGGTCATTATCGCTGTGTTCGCGGCAATATCCGGTGTACACACAGCGATAGCTACCGTACGCTCTATTCGGGCGAAGAAGGCAGGAAGGCAGCCAACACTACTTGCAACGTAAGGCTTAGCGCGTTAGAGACGGGTGGGAGGTCAGCGGAAAAGGGGAGGTTGAGAGTCTGTCTGCTGAATGTAATATAGAGAGGCAAATTATATTTTCTGTAATTAGAAGTGGGCAGAGATTGTGTTCACGTTCGTGATGTGTGCGGAGGTTGTCTACCGTTGTCACGGATTATGCACAGGATTTGTTTCAGCCGTCGGACAAGCTATAACGGTAGCTTCGGTTCTGCTGCCATGGACCTAGTAGAAGGTTAACGGTGATAGCGGAAACTCTCTGTGATGAATCTGGTGACCCCATTTGCTCTTGCTTTTGGTGTCTATGTATTAATATTATTATGTAATATAAGACGATGGCAGGGACTGTGTTCGGGTTCGTGATGTGTACTGAGGTTGTCCCAGAGTATACACAGGGGATTTGTTTCAGGAGTCGGACGAGCTAGCGGTAGCGTGATAGTGGAAATTCTGTGCTAAATCTGGTGATCCCATTCGTTTTTTGGTTGTAGTGTGTGTGTGTGTGTGTGTGTGTGTGTGTGTGTGTGTGTGTGTGTGTGTGTGTGTGCGTGTGTGTGTGTATGTGTTGGGAAAGTTTCTCGACCTGGTGGTCGACGTTGTGTATCATGCGCTTGTGTTTGTCGGGGATGAACTCAGTTGAAGTAATCGTAGAGGACTAAGAGGAGGAAGTAATCTGCCGCAGTGTGCGTGCTTGTTGTTGAGCCGGATGCACTCAGCTCAGTTAAGTAGTGGTAGGAGAGTAGGAAGTAATCTCCGCAGTGTGCGTCCGTGTCCCATGGGATTGTGAAGGACCATGTTCGAGTGAGCTCGACTGCAGATCGGCAGACTCAGTGTGAAAGCGTCTTTTTTCATCTGGCTGCGCTGTACTCGTTGCTTTCCTGTAACGTACTTATGATACTGATCGTGCACAACGCGAAAAATCTCGTGAACTGAGCTCCAGCTGCATTCAGATTGTCCATAAAATAAAACAATAAAAAAGTGGTCCCCACGTGTCCGCTTCAGCACAGTACCTGTGTGCTTGAGATCGTGACAAGATTCTTCCTCGTCAAAAAAATCTTGTTTGAGTGTGTGGACTTGCTATGTCGTCACTCTCTGATCTCATACGTTGTCCATGGGGCCAGTGTAAAAAAAAGCCTGAATCGGTGAATCTCCCCGAAATCGGATTTTGTTTTCAATGTTTTGCAGTCCGTGTCAGTTTTGTTGCGTGCTGGTTTGGTAATGATGGGATGCCTGTTAATCATGCCGCTGTCTCTTAATAAGTAGACCATCGTGTCCGCAATTCTGTCGATCTTTACTTTCGTGTTGGAAAGGGGAGGTTGGTTCGCACGCTGACTCGCTGAGCCCTGCTTTCTGTTTTTGCTCCCATACTCTCCTTCCCTATAACCCCAAATCGTCTTTTCTTCTGTGCCATTCAACGGCATTCATGAGATGTCCACTTTCGTTCCCAGGATACAGAGGAACAGGGTTGAGTGGGGGGAGTGGCAAGCTCTCACTTCCCCGGGAATCAAATGACGCTATCCCTCTCTCTTTTTCACACACTTCCAAACAGTCGAACCAACCCCTCCCCTCCGCTCTCCCTACACAACACGCCCCCCC